TCCCAGCAAGTATTTAGTGTGCACCTATTTTAGGCGGTGAGGCTACCCTGATGTGAGGCATGATCCCTGCTTTCAGGGAGTTTACACTCTAGTGCTGGAGACAAATCAGATAATCCCGACAAATTATAATTTGATAAAAACGTGGGGAGCTCTGTCCTCGTTAGAGGGTAGTGCTACCACTCTCTGTTGTGTTGGTGCCATTTGGGGACACAAAGGTTCTTTATTGTCTTCTACCCCTTGTTGGCTATAAGCAAGGCAGAATTCTGAATTTTAATGAGACTGAAAATTTATTTACTAAAATTAGCGGTTTAACGATTTCGGTTTCGGCTTATGCACTGCAACAGGGAGAAAAATAGAAGAAAAGTCAACTTTTATTACTACTTAAGGCACCATTATCTCCCCAATAAAGTGTGTGAATCGGTTTCTGTTTACTTTCAGGTTCTTAGTTGTGTGGCATTTGCCATTTTCCCAACTGTTGCTTTATTGTATGAAGAAATTGGTTTGGCAGTGAGTGGAAATGCAATGCTTCGTACAGGGCACTGGGCTAAGTCTAAAAGCCTTTGCAAACAGCTACACACACACCCCGTTTCTGAAGGGGTTCTTTTCTATATTTGTTTTTGGGATGTAAAAAGGTTCTGAGTTTGTACACACACACTTTTTTTTCCCCATATAAAGAATTTTTTCTTAAGATATTTTTCATGGGTGGTTAATTTAGAAGATGTTGATCAATTATTTTTCATTCGGATTTCAAATTAAGTGCTTCATTCTACATTGTGAGAGATTGACATTAGATACAAGACAGGTAATTCTAAGGTGAAGTTTGTTAGGTTGAGGAATATAGTGAAAATATATGTTGTGAAATTGTTAGATTGGGGGTTAGATTAATGCATTTTAAGAGCAATTCTTTTCTTTTGGTATCTTAAGATTCTATTTAAGAAGTAACTTTAGGTGTTAGAAGGACATGGTTGCATTTTTTTTAGCAAGTGAAGCATGATTCACGTGCAGAAGAAAAAGTTAAAATTGATGTAAATGGACCTTTCTTTATAATGAAAAGAGTTACATTGCTACTTAAATAATTGAGGTGGAATGTTTATGGTGTTATACTCCATGCTTTCATTGAAGGGGGGATGGTTTGGCAAGTTCAGGAAGAACATCTGTTCACCTACTCTAGTCCCTTGATTTTAGTGATAAATGAGTCCCAAAGTATGCACACTTCAGGATAGCAAAGCTGACACTAAAACTAACTGGCTTTCTAGTTGCTACCTCAGGTCAGTATTCTTTCCTCAGTGCTCCTTTAAGATGAATTGTTTAACCCTTTAAGCCACTGTTGCTTTGAGTTGTTATAAGATAGTAGAATGATAACATGCTTTTGTTTTTAAACTTTTGGGACAACTTAATTGTAAGGTAAGTTTATAAGGTCTGCAGTAAGTATTATATATGTACAGAAATTATCGTATTTTATTATTATTGCCTTATTGGGGAATCACAAAACTACACTGTATAACTGTTGGCAATTAGCCAGCAAGCAGATCAAGCCTCCTGGACTGAAGATTTCAAGAATTTACTGCAAAGCCAACTTGGACTGTTAATTTTTAGTCATAACTAGCTAAAGTTTCTATTACAGATAGGAGAATTAAATACTTGAATATGAAAGAAACTCCAAATATTTCCTTGTAAGCTTTAGGTAAAACTTCAGAGGGAAAATATTAGACTAGAGGTATTAAAAGAATTGTTGATTAAACAAACTATCGTTGCAAAGGTAAATGAGATTTTCTGTGGTGAGCTATATATTATGTATACAAAAGACCTGAGTAGATTCAGTTCTTGCGTAGATAAAACGTTTTGAAAAATTTGAAGGAAAAAAGTAATTGAAAGAGTTGTACATATGAACTGTGTATTTGTTATTTTCAGTAGATTTAGACAGTTCAGTATATAATGAAATTTTATGAGAAAGCCGAGTTTACTAATCTCCGTATGAATTTATATTTCAGTTATTAAAATGAATCGAAAAATACCTATGTTTTAGCAGCAAGTAGCAACATTTAACAAAATAATTTTAAGAGAAGGTTGTTTACATTATCATGTTTGTTTAATGATTTTTTTTTAATGTGTAATGATTGCTTTGGGGTGAATATCTTGTTAGAGAATGTACTTTAAAGTTCTCTAAAGACAGTATTTATTAATGTTCCCCCAGTTTTCTAGTTTTTGATTTTACTTGATGCACTAAACTTGTAATAAATTTTTTCTAATTTTTTTCAGATGTTGGATGAAAATAACCATCTTATTCAGTGTATAATGGACTATCAAAATAAAGGAAAGACCTTAGAGTGTTCTCAGTAAGATTGCTATGAAACTTCTTTTGTATTGATTTTTCTGTGTTGTTTATTTTTTTGTTTTACTTTTTTCCCAGATAACAACTTAATTGAGATACAGTTCACATACATGTAATTTGCCTGTTTGAAGTATGCAGTTCAATGGTTTTTATATTCACAGAGATGTGCAACTGTTACCACAGTCAATTTTTGAATGTTTTCATCATCCCCTCAAAAATCCCCCAACCCATTGACAGTTACACCTCATTCTGTCCCCTTATTCCCCACCCCCCAGCCTTAGGCAACCACTAATCTATTTTCTACATGAATGTCCCTATTGTGGACATGTCATATAAATAGAATCATACAGTATGCAATATTTTGTGACTGACTTAGGTAGTGTAATGTTTTCAGAGTTCATCCATGTTATAGCATGTGTAAGTACTTCATTTAATTACTAAATGATTTTCTGTTGTATAGCTATGCCACATTTTTATTTATGTATCAGTTGATGGACATTTGAATTCTTTCCACTTTTTGGCTTTCATGAATAATGCTCCTATGAAGATTTGTGTGCAAGTTTTTTTTTTTTTTTAGATTGTGATTTGGGTGAAAGTTTACAGAGCAAATTCATTTTCTGTACAGCAGTTCACATATGCCTTGTCTCATGACATTGACTGCAATTTCCCACAGTGCAACAGCTCTCTTCCCACTTCATCCCCATAGTTACCTTTTCCCTGTGTCCTTCCTTCCCATGCACTCCTGCCCCCTGAACTGACTCCCTGTGCATACACAGCCTTTCTAGTCTCCCATGATTGATCTCTCTAAGGAGTATATCTACCAATGTAAATGTTCAGATCATATGCCTGTCTTTTGTTTGGCTGGAAGCCACAGGAGTGGGTTCAGTTCCAGACCTGAAGGGCAACTAGGGGCCATAGTCTCAGGGGTTCCACCAGGCTCTCTCAGACCAGCAAACCTGGTGTGTGCAAGTTTTTGTATGACTTTTCTTGAGTTTTAGGAAAGGAAAATTTGTTTTTTAGGAGGTAGGTAGAGGAGGTGTCAGTTTTTTTGTTACACTTTTTACCCTACATTACAAAATAATGACTTTAAGTTTATATATAGTATTATGTGAAAAGTTAGATTTTCACATATGTAAGATACAAAGTTACATGCATATTTGTGGTGGAGAAAGTGAAGCTTAGATTTAATAAATGGGGAATTATCATTCATAAAGACTAGACTGAAGTGACGTAGCTGAAGTAAGCAGTATAAGCCTAATAGAATCTGATGCTATAGAGCAGTTAAATATTTTATCAGAAGTCTCTAAAATAGCACTGTCCAATAGAAATGGAATGTAAATTACAGATAATTTAAAATTTTTTGGTGTAACTGCTGTTAGCTGCCATCAAGTTGTCCCTGACTCATGGCAGCCTCATGTGTGAAGGGATTTTGCCTGGTTTTGTGCTGCCTCATGATGAGTTGCAGATTGGACTGCTTTGATCCATAGGATCTTCATTGGCTGATTTTTGGAAGTATATTGCCAGGCCATTATTCCTGGTCTGCCTTCGTCTGGAGACTCCCCTGAAACCTGCTCAGGATCGTAGCAACACTTAAGCCTCCACTGAGAGAGAGGTGGTGGCTGCACATGAGGTGCATTGACAGACTTGAACCTGGTTCTCCCACATGGAAAGGGAAAATTCTACCACTGACCACTGCCCCCGATTTTCTGATAGACACATTAAAAAGGTAAAAAGAAACAGGTGAAATTAGTTTTAATAATATGTTTTATTTAACCCAATACTTCCAAAATAATATTTCAATAGGTAATCAGTATAATATGAGGGGGCCCTGGTGGCACAGTGGTTAAAGTGCTCAGGTCCTAGCCAAAAGCTCCATGGTTTGATCCCACCAGCTGCTGTTTGGAAGAAAGATGTGGCAGTCTGCTTCCATAAAGATTGATAGCCTTAGAAACCCTATGGGGCAATTTGGCTCTGTAGTATTTATTGAGTCTCTCCATGGGTTACATTTTGACTTGATGGCAATGGGCTTCTTTTTAATCAGTATAAAAATATTAATGAGAGATTTTACATTCTTTTTTTTTTTAAATCATACTAAGTCTTTAGAACCCATTGTGTACTTTACTCACATAGAACATCTTATTTAGGACTAGCCATGTTTCACGTATATTACAGTCTGATGGCTACTGTATTGGACAGTGCAGCCCTAGAGTATTTTATTCTCAACACTTATGGGGCACTTTTCTCTTTCCTTGAGGTCTTACTCAGTCTGCTCTCAGGCAGATTTTCCCAGCAACCCTGACTTTTGTTCTGCGTAGCTTCTACGCTTCCATGGTTGTACTGGTCTCTTGCTGTCATTTCATTCACCCTTTATCTAATTTGCACCCTGATGGACAGATGGCTAACGTGCTGAGCTGCTAACTGAAAGGTTGGATATTCAAGTCTGCCCAGAGGTGCCTAGAAAAAAAAGGCTAGGTGTTGTACTTCTAACCAATCAGCCATTGAAACCCTGTGGAGCACAGTTCCACCCTCACACACATGAAGTAGCCATGAGGTGGTGTTGACTCGACAGCAGCTGCTTTAATGAGTTGTCTAAGATAGTATCTTCTGCTTACTTTGTCTTTTTTCCCCTTTGTATAAAAATTATTTTAAAATTAAATGGATCATCAATAATCACTGTAAAAAAAATAACTTATTCCTTTCTCTCCGTAGGGTAATTTAAAAAAAAAAAAAAAATTTTGTTGTGTTTTAAGTAAAAGTTTACATAGCAAAGAAAGTTCTCATTTAGCCATTTTTATATAAATTGTTCTTTGACATTGGCTGCATTTTTTACAATGTGTCATCGTTCTCATTATTTCCATTCTATTAGTTTGGTTTCCATTAATCTAGTTATCCTACTTTTCCTTAGTTTCTCATCTTTGTTTTATGATAAATGTTGGGAGCTCTGGTGGCATAGGACCTAAGACATTTGACTGCTAACCAGAAGGCTGGTGGTTCAAACCCACCAGCCACTCCTTGGAAGGAAGACTGGGCAGTCCACTTCTGTAGAGATACTGCCTTGGAAACCCAAGGAGGGGTTGCTGTGAGTTGGAGTTAAGTCAGCGGCAGAGAGTTTGGTTCTTTTTTGGTTGACTGTTTGGTCTCATATATTTGATTATTTAAGGAAGCACAGTATTCACAGTGCAAGGTAATTGTTTTAGAATCGTTTAGTAGGTAACCTTTTAAGTATTTTTCTGTGTATGTAATACATACATATATATATATATATATATAGCTGTTTGCTGTTTTTTAATGGTTATGTAAGCTAGAGTTTTATAATGCAGTTGCTGGGTTAAAGAGCATGCTAAGTTGCCAATTAACCTGCAGAAAGATTGTATTTCTTTGCAGATTCTTAGTTTTCAGCCACTCATGCTAGCAATTGATGTTGTTCTAGTGTGCCATTGAATCAATTTCATAGCAACTCCATAGGTCAGAGTAGAACTGCCACAGGGTTTTCTAGGCTATAATCTTTACAAAAGCAGATTATTGTATCTTGTGGAGTGGCTGATAGGTTTAAACCACCGACCTTTTACTTAATGGCCAAACACTAAACCACTATTGCCTTGGAAACCCAAGGAGGGGTCGCTATGAGTCAGGTCTGACTTGATGGCACATAACAACAACAACAACAAACTATTATTGCACTGAGGCCCCTTAATGAATATTAGTTATCTTTTTAAATTTTTGCACATCTAGTTAGTGAAAAGTAGTATCTTTATTTTGAAATAATTTCTCACAAAAATTTCTAAAATAGTGTGAGAAATTTTTATGTAACCTCCACTAAAATTCTTCAAGTGTTAATATATTAGGACACATAATTTATTATTCATTCTCCCCTTACTGTTTTTTTTGATACATTTGACAGTAAGTACAAATATGATTTTCTCTTACCTGTTTCTTTTAGTAATACTTGATTGTGTTTTTGTTTAAAGTTTACACAGCAAATTAGGTTCACATTTGACAATTTGTAAATATGTTATTCAGTGACACTAGTTACATTTTTCACAGTATGTCGGTTCTCTTTAATTTCATTCTGGTTCCATTTCCAGTACATGTATGCATCACTTAACGTCTATTTGGGCAGTGTCTGATGGCATATATGTTCACGGCCCTATAAGGTGTTTTGTTTTTTTTCAAGGGAAAGCAGCTCTCCTTTGGTTTATTACGTTTTTCCCTAATGGTTTTAAAGACCCCGTACTGCCAGAGAGAACAAGCACTGGGGCTGCAGAGTGCATTCCAAACCCTGCAGTACCTCCTTTACCTCCTCTTCCCCCTCCTGGTTTCATTCACCTGCCCAGCAGGGTTGCCATTGCCAGCTGTGCTCCTGGTACCTGTATACCTGGTCTCTGCATACCTGGTCCTATGGCTACCTTTCAGTGCCCCCTTTTGCATGGACATAGGCAAAGTCCTTATATGGCTGCGAGCACAGCCCGTGCTCTGCCTAGCTGTACACCCAGCAAGGCTGGCTTCCTGTATCCAGTGGATACAGCTCTGGGGCTTTGTCTGGTGGGCTTCCATAGGTTTTAATATAGTAGGCTTTACAGGGATTTAAGTACAGATTGTCCACTGACTGCTTGTATATATTGTGTTTGTACAGCATCCAAATCACATAACATCCTATTTCATGGAATGTATAGTGGATATTAAGCAACATATACTTGCACTCTAGTTTCTCTGCCTCCTTATCTCCTCATCCTTGCTTTATAGTAGTTGTTGACCATTTAGTTGCATAGCTAGTTTTTTAATGGACCACCTTATTTACAGGTAAATCTTTTATTTCGTGTGCCAATCTTTTATTTCGCCAGACGGTGACTTTGGGATAGTTTGGTTTCAAGGTTTAGTGTTTCAGGACGATTGTCTCAAGAAGTCCTCTAGTCTCAGTTGGTCTAGTAAGTCTGTACTTTTTAGGAATTTGTGTTCCCTTCCTCATTTTTCTCCAGTTTATTAGGGTCCATCTGTTGTGGCTCT